AATAGATGAGGTAAGATGACGCAATAGATAATTTCGTCTTTTGGTTATACTATATTTAAACATAAGTAAATATTATGCCATGAGTTCTTTTGGCCACAACTTTTAAAGTAACGTTAAGAAATCAAGTAAATAAACTGTAACGAAACATAGCCTGCAAATTTGATATTATTTTGAGAGTAATTGACTATTAACAAATGTATGTTTAGGCCTTTTGGTTTTTTGGTTTGTTTTTTTAATTTTTTTAATTTAATCGGTACGCCTGTTTAAACTCTGAAACAGTGGCAACGTGTTCTCTTCTACTATATATATACGTGAAGCTGGCCTTTGTACGTTTAGCGTAGTGACGTCAGCACCGTTTCGGAGTTTTACGCTCGTCTTTTTTTTTTATGGCATAGTAATTTCATATCATATTCATAGACTTGAATAACAAGTTGTATTAATGAAAACAAAATGTAGTTGTTGTCTCAAAGTCTTGTTTGGAATTACGCATATATCATTAACCTTTCGGAATACGTTATACATGACATACATGAAAACACCCAGTCAACAATTTGAACAGAATGTCAATTGTTCTATTAAGCACGAACGTGGATTTCTTCGTATAAAGTTAAGAAGATGTGGTATGGTTGCCAATGTGACAACTCTCCACCAGAGACCAACTGACGTAGAAGTTAGCAACCGTACGGCCTTCAACAATGAGCAAAACGCATACCCTATAGTAAAATATAAAAGGCCTAGAAATCACAAATGTATAACAATTCAAAAGAAAACAAATAACGACCTGATTTATGTGTACCAAACAATTAACGAAAAACAAATATGATATACATGCATCAACAAACGACAACCACTGAAATCCAGGATCCTGACATGGGACAGGCACATACAGAATGTTGCGTGGTTAAACATGTTTGCGGATGCCAAACCCTCCACCTAACCTAGGACATTGGTATAACAGAACAACATAAGAACAAACTATAAATATCAGTTGAAAAGGGCTTAGCGTGTCAGATCGATACAAAGCACACAAAAAAGACACTAAGTACAGATCTGAGAGTACTCGCAGTTACTGAAATCTAGCTCAAGGCCATTAAAACAACTAATAAAAAAATTATGTATCCAAGACTAAAATATCAATCAGTAAACATCCAACCGCCAATGGATTTAGTGTAAAGATGTTATTAACAGTGAGAGAAAAACATGACCTTGTGAATTCCAAAACATAGGTTTCGACAAATGGTATGAATGCCAAGTGTAGACGAACTTACCACATGAGATTTTATCTGAATCAGAATCTTCTCATGACTAATGTACAATTTTGAAAGAATGATTACACTGCCCTGAAGAGGCTCGGTGCATCAAACTACTTAAGTTATGATATCCAATCGTAGTACTAATTTATCGTAGGACATGTAGAAAAATCCGTCCGTTCGGAACAAATCTTAACTTAAGTACTTTTATGCATATCAGCCCAGGTGTCTTAAATATAACAGCGGATACAATAGTTAAACATATAAGTGTCATGTTATTTACTTTTTATTTATATAATCGTGGAAGTATATGCATGTTTATGTTTTATTTAAAGCTGATTTTAACAAAATAATACAATGTACCAGATGAAAATTAAGTAGCGTACATTACATTTAAGTAAGACGTGTTTATTTTTTTACGGATTGTTAACAAACTATACACAGGATTATACTGTAAATAGATGATACACACGTTTTGTTTTTTTTTTATTTTCTAAAGATATCAAATATTTATCACAATTAACAAAATGTATACACAGTAGCTTATCACATCAACCACCACAGTGACTATGACAGCGATAAGGACATACAGTTCACTGCCGTAAGACCACGCCATAGATGTATGATAAATAAACTCATCATAGCTACCAGGATTAAAAATTTGTACGCTAAACACGCGTTTCGTCTACAAAAGACTCATCAGTGACGCTCGAATAAAAAAGTTAAAGGCAAAATAAAGTACAAAGGTGAAGAGCATATTGAAGACCCAAAATTCCGAAAGATTTTGTCAAATACAGCTAGGGTTATTCCTTGGTGGAAAATACTTAGTATTTCGAAAAATTCAAAGTTTTGTAAACAGTTAATTTATAATTATGACCATATCAATGAAGCCACACTAAGGACATCTGTGTCCTTTCTTAGATAAAACATATAAAAAAATAAGGAGATAGGCTATGATTGCCAATGAGACAACTATCCACCAAAGTTCAAATGAAGTGGATGCTAGCAATTATAGGCAACCGTACTGTCTTCATTAATGAGAAAAACCTTTTCAATATTGTCGACTACAAAAGCCCCCGACATAAAAAATATGAAACAATCCAATTGAGAAAACTAACGGCCTAATTTATAACAAAACAATTTACGAAAAACAAATATGACAGACATGAACCAAGTACCGACAACCACTGAACTACAGGCTTCTGACTTGGGACAGGCACATACAGAATTTGGCGGGGTAAAACATGTCTGAAGGCACCAACCCTCCCCTAACCTGGGACAGTTGTGTAACAGTATAACATAAGAACAATCTATAGAAATCAGCTGATAAGAGCTTAACTCATCAGATCGATACAAAGCAGAAAAACATCTAACAAAAACACATATTGAACGTGACACGGAATTTTTACATCTCTCACAACAAAAAAGACACAAAGTACAGATCTGAGAGTGCTCGCAGTTACTGACAGCTAGTTCAAAGCCATTAACAACTAATAAAAAAAATCCTGTATCCAAGACTAATTTAAAATATCAATCAGTACACCTCCAATGGAATTAGTGTAAAGATGTCATTAGCAGTGTATACATTTCAAACTATCAACAAATTAATTCGATGCAATGAAAAGAAGTATAACGTCACTTGATAGCACTGCCGTACGAAATACCATTTGATAATTATGTGTACAACGTAAATATAATTACATCATTCGGCGCTATGCTCATTCTAATGTAAGAAAAAATAAACGAGTCATATATATTCCGTAATGTGAAGACAAATCGAGTATGTTACTATAAAAATTAAGACAAATTATTGATAATAACATTTACCATTATTTGCCATCATATCCATTATATCTATTGTCATGGCTAGAGGGGGTGTGGTGGAGGAGAGGGTATGGATTAAGAAGTTTTTAGTTCAGCATTACTAGCTATCAGCTTTTCATTTAAACTATTGAAATCAATTTTATACTTTTTAGTCATGCGATATCAGAGCCAAAATTTTGAATTGGTTTACTGACATCATGTGCAAATGTTTAGGTAACCTGATCGAGGCGGAACTAGGTGGTGCAAAAGGTCTTATTCTGGAGAATGTATGATAAACAGAAGTCATTGGCAAAAAATCTCAAATCATGAAGACAGAGGGAACAAGGACAGCATGCTCGCCTCGTCAAATGTACAGAGAAAGCCTGTCTATTGTTATTTGTTTTATGAATGTTACTATGTGTATATACAACTAAATCGTCTTTGACAATTGATACAAAACTAAGGAAAGCTGCCCGTGAATTCCCTGATTGTTATTAGTTTTTCTCATTGGAAACACATGGAAAAAATAAATCGTCATTAAAATTCCCACCATCGCAGATTATTATTAATTGTCGGCATGAGAATTGCCGCTCCCGCAGATTTTTTTTTTAAACATTCGCTTTCTTCAAACTCTTCATTCAGTGTATTGATAATGGTTACAATGAAGTAACTATTTACATAGGCGACAATGGTAATCTTTTTTGTGTTCTGCGTTTTCACTATAAATAATTCATTGAAAAAACTGTCAAATTGCAAATTTTCCACATCTTTGGGTGTGAATAAAACTGCCAAAAGACATAAGGTGCGGCAGCATTTTTGATAGAAAATGGCATTTTTTTAAGGGTACTCTACAGTTCCAGAATTTTTTGAAATAGTATGAATGAAGATCACCCTTGCTTAATTTTGCACAGAACATTTTGCTGATCACAAAGAGTTTCCTCCAAATTTATCGCTATTTCTACACCAATAGCCGACATTCATTTTCACTATTTCAATTTTCTTTTCTAATTAACAGGGCAGCAAAAATTAAATTTACTTCTAGCTGGATGTAAAAACTTGGTGGCGCCCGTCATCTTTAATTACTTCCTTTAAACCGATTTACTGAGTAACGTCATTTGCAAATGGTTTTTACAGTTTGTTGTTGTGTTGCTTTTGTTATAGATGTATCATTTGTTGAATGCTTCATGTTGGAAAAAAACCGAATTAAAATGAATTGATTAATTAGTCTTCACTTAAAGTAGTCCAGTGGCAAATATTTCATGCATGTTCAGGATTAGAGCAAATTAACAATTAATACAATAGGGGATTGACCGGGGTGAATAGCGGGAAATTCGGAATGTCACTGGAAAAAAGGAATATTGAATAAGGACGGGAAATTAAACTAAAGTAGGTCACCTTCAGACCCCTCTAAGAGTTGTTGCCAGGGTTCTAAACGTGCAGAGAGCGTGGTAATCTCTCTACACGAGATTTATAATTAAACATCCCCGTTCTGGCTAGACGTGACTGCGAATCTATACATATTCCACAACCATACGGATGTCCCACTTCAGCAAGGTTTTGACTGCCGTTTAAAAGAATATCAAGGAATAACTATACAGCAGTAAAGCCCTTCGTGTTTCAAAAAAATTGAAACCGTGACCAATAGAAAACAACATCGTAAACATATATTTGCACGCGATACGCGCTATCATTTTGTCAATGGCATCGTATTATCAGCTCTTCTATTATACAATAAAATGACCTACCGTCATGACGGTAATATAGCAGAAATAAAACAGGCTGTGATAAATCACTTCATCATAAAATATTGTATCAAAGGTAGTAATGTTTTATTTTTATCTATTATACACTTAATAGACTATATATATACACAATACCGTACATTCGCTCTTGTATATGGAAGATATAAGTACATGTTCAGGTCAAACTATTGCAACTATTGCTTACCTTAAGAACGCACTCCTCCAACGTAACAAAACGATCACAAGATAAATAATATTGATTGTAATTTAATACAATAAGTTGTCTCAAAAGGACGTTATCATATTTGTTTTTGAAGTTAATTTTCAACATGCACATTGTATTCAATTGATCCAAAAAGGAAACTATATACGCACGCTATTAATGCAACAATATTTTTAACAAATTTGTACATTTAAAAATAGTAACTATATAAAGGAGTGAGTGATGTTTTGATATTTTGTTTACCTAACAAACCATAAAAAAGTACAATACAAAGAACTTGTTGTGTCTTATTACGGACTTTTAATATGTGCTTCTTCTTTTCAAGGTGTTTTAATTTAATTATTTCCCATGAATATTATTTTTGAATTCGATGTTTGCTTTCTGTTTTCTGTTATCACTTTAAGGTAGCACGGTAGTATTTGCATTCCAGAATTTAGGTTGCTCTTTTGTGTACCCTACTTAGGTCAATGTATCTGAACAGTGTGATTGGACTAAAAATACAGTATCAACTGAACATACTTTCCCAAACTGAGGGATGAATCAGGTGTAGAAAAATATGAAATAATTTTACAAACAGGTGAAAATGAATTTTTGAGAATTTTTTTAAATTTTGTATTCACTGCATGATAAAAGACCTAAAAGCACTAGTGGCCTTAGGTTTTTAAAAATAGCAAAAAAAGTAAACGGTCATGATACATATTCAAATTTATTTCTGATTAGTATAATGAAAGTACTTCAGTTAACTGTGTATGTAGAATTTTTCGCAGTGCTAGAAAGTGGTGAAAATCCTAAAAAGGCTATCATTATCCCTTATGGGCCAGGAAATACTACCGTGCCACCTTAACTGGGATATATATGTTTACACAAAATCAATAAAGGTATTTGTTTTACCTATGCAATTTGTAAGTTTATCAATAAAAAGTTGATTAAGGGCAACTAGAATAAAAACAGCCCTTAAATTTCACCCCTGGGAGTGAAAATTGCTGATTCAGCAAATTTTGCCTGATCTGTGGGTAATAATGTTAATATTTACCTAGAAAGTAAAATTTCTTTATTTTTAAGTAACTTGCAATACATTTTTAATTATAAAGTTTAGTTTTAACTTTTCGCAGTGTCTGACACTTGTGCAACAACTGGAATTTGAGACGCGACATATTTTAGTCGCCTGTACCTCCTATAATTTTCACCGTAATAAATAAAGTGCATAATTTTTTATTTTTTTCCACACAAGTACAGCTATACTAGTTTTCTTCAGGTTTAATTTGTAGTTTTGTGTTAACATGACACCAGTAAAGAGCTTTTTTGGAACTAGTAAGTGGTTAAGGGATCCTTACTTATTCATTTAGCCCTCATATTTAGCTGAAATAGAGATAGCATTAGGGGTTTCTTTACATTGACAAGACAATTTTTTGGACAAAGAATGTGATTATGATTGTATATCAGCAAGATTAAATAGTTTATTCATTTTCCATGCAAATGTCATTAATTTATTTGATTTTCTGACCCTGAAAAGCACAATAAAGCTAAATTGATTATGTAAGGGGACATAATTAACTGAATGCATACATGAGAAATAGACAATGAGTCAACTTAAAGATATATTCTAGTACATGTATTGTCAAAAAGATCTTTGAATAATAGTAAACTGCCATCTAAAGAGTCTTGTTATATTGCCTTCATAATCTGGAAATGCTTAAAGGAATGTAAGGCATGCTGTAAAATGTGGAATGGACTTTACTATCAGTTTTCATGATTTGGTGCTTAAACTGTTTCTTTCAGTCAGATTAACTATAAATAGAGTTGGCAATCCAATAATTCCTCCTGAATCACCATGGTTTACTTCTGTGTTGATTTGAAACAACATATATTTGGGTTTTGTTCACTCCTTAAGTAAAAATGTTCAGATGAAAAAAAGTGAAAATCTGCCAGCTGGGGTAGGGGTATACTTTTTAATTTTTTTTTGGTAAGAAATAAGTGAAGACTAGTATTCTTTATTGTAATATGTTTCCTAGTAAGAAGTCTATGCATCATAGGTGTCATGACAGATTTCAAGTTTGTAATGTCTTGGTTAAGGTAGCACGGTAGTATTTGCATTCCAGAATTTAGGTTGCTCTTTTGTGTACCCTACTTAGGTCAATGTATCTGAACAGTGTGATTGGACTAAAAATACAGTATCAACTGAACATACTTTCCCAAACTGAGGGATGAATCAGGTGTAGAAAAATATGAAATAATTTTACAAACAGGTGAAAATGAATTTTTGAGAATTTTTTTAAATTTTGTATTCACTGCATGATAAAAGACCTAAAAGCACTAGTGGCCTTAGGTTTTTAAAAATAGCAAAAAAAGTAAACGGTCATGATACATATTCAAATTTATTTCTGATTAGTATAATGAAAGTACTTCAGTTAACTGTGTATGTAGAATTTTTCGCAGTGCTAGAAAGTGGTGAAAATCCTAAAAAGGCTATCATTATCCCTTATGGGCCAGGAAATACTACCGTGCCACCTTAACTGGGATATATATGTTTACACAAAATCAATAAAGGTATTTGTTTTACCTATGCAATTTGTAAGTTTATCAATAAAAAGTTGATTAAGGGCAACTAGAATAAAAACAGCCCTTAAATTTCACCCCTGGGAGTGAAAATTGCTGATTCAGCAAATTTTGCCTGATCTGTGGGTAATAATGTTAATATTTACCTAGAAAGTAAAATTTCTTTATTTTTAAGTAACTTGCAATACATTTTTAATTATAAAGTTTAGTTTTAACTTTTCGCAGTGTCTGACACTTGTGCAACAACTGGAATTTGAGACGCGACATATTTTAGTCGCCTGTACCTCCTATAATTTTCACCGTAATAAATAAAGTGCATAATTTTTTATTTTTTTCCACACAAGTACAGCTATACTAGTTTTCTTCAGGTTTAATTTGTAGTTTTGTGTTAACATGACACCAGTAAAGAGCTTTTTTGGAACTAGTAAGTGGTTAAGGGATCCTTACTTATTCATTTAGCCCTCATATTTAGCTGAAATAGAGATAGCATTAGGGGTTTCTTTACATTGACAAGACAATTTTTTGGACAAAGAATGTGATTATGATTGTATATCAGCAAGATTAAATAGTTTATTCATTTTCCATGCAAATGTCATTAATTTATTTGATTTTCTGACCCTGAAAAGCACAATAAAGCTAAATTGATTATGTAAGGGGACATAATTAACTGAATGCATACATGAGAAATAGACAATGAGTCAACTTAAAGATATATTCTAGTACATGTATTGTCAAAAAGATCTTTGAATAATAGTAAACTGCCATCTAAAGAGTCTTGTTATATTGCCTTCATAATCTGGAAATGCTTAAAGGAATGTAAGGCATGCTGTAAAATGTGGAATGGACTTTACTATCAGTTTTCATGATTTGGTGCTTAAACTGTTTCTTTCAGTCAGATTAACTATAAATAGAGTTGGCAATCCAATAATTCCTCCTGAATCACCATGGTTTACTTCTGTGTTGATTTGAAACAACATATATTTGGGTTTTGTTCACTCCTTAAGTAAAAATGTTCAGATGAAAAAAAGTGAAAATCTGCCAGCTGGGGTAGGGGTATACTTTTTAATTTTTTTTTGGTAAGAAATAAGTGAAGACTAGTATTCTTTATTGTAATATGTTTCCTAGTAAGAAGTCTATGCATCATAGGTGTCATGACAGATTTCAAGTTTGTAATGTCTTGGTTAAGGTAGCACGGTAGTATTTGCATTCCAGAATTTAGGTTGCTCTTTTGTGTACCCTACTTAGGTCAATGTATCTGAACAGTGTGATTGGACTAAAAATACAGTATCAACTGAACATACTTTCCCAAACTGAGGGATGAATCAGGTGTAGAAAAATATGAAATAATTTTACAAACAGGTGAAAATGAATTTTTGAGAATTTTTTTAAATTTTGTATTCACTGCATGATAAAAGACCTAAAAGCACTAGTGGCCTTAGGTTTTTAAAAATAGCAAAAAAAGTAAACGGTCATGATACATATTCAAATTTATTTCTGATTAGTATAATGAAAGTACTTCAGTTAACTGTGTATGTAGAATTTTTCGCAGTGCTAGAAAGTGGTGAAAATCCTAAAAAGGCTATCATTATCCCTTATGGGCCAGGAAATACTACCGTGCCACCTTAATTTGATACATACTCTAGTTTTATATAGAAATTCAGTAAAACGGATGAAAATGGTGGATGAGGGGTAACATTGTTCGCATTCATACAATATTGCATTCAAACATAATTTCTTTTTAAGCTGGATCTCTTTTTAAACGGCGAATTTACTTTAGCAACAAATATCACAAACCAAACGTCGGACCAAAAATTGTTTCTGTCTTACACTTGTTTCAAGGTTGAAGTTGAAAAGACGTACTGGCATATATTTTACATAAATCTTAAATATATGAATCCTTTAAATACTGTCTGGTAACTTTTGTTTTCATTCAATATACTTGACTGAATTAAAAGCTCAAGTCTTGTTTTCTTTCAACTTGAAACAACTAATTGGTAACAATCATAATAGCATAAGGTTAATGCTTAACTTAAACTATGTCCTGGTTAGGTTAAGTAAAGACAATAAATGACAGATTTTCTACTGTGTTAAACATGTCTAATTTCGATAAACATTATGGAAAGAACAAATACAAATTACTTTCATGTCAATACAGATTAACCATTCATTAAGAAGGCTGATTGACGGATTTCGTCAATTAACCTTAAGTATCAGGCTATTAAACAAATTATGTAATTGGTAACAGGTGCTCGTAATGTTGATAGTTAAGTTCGCATCTGGTAAGCTTTGAAGAAAATTTATTTGTAGTTTTAATTAAGCTATTTGAAAGATTTCTATAGAGAAAACAGATGTAATTGATACATTACAATATTATTAACTGGTACTAACGCATAAATTATCCCCACCTGAAATCTCCAGCAAAACAAATTGTGAATATTACAAAAATCCAACTTAAACACTTAAATACTATTGACAATGTAAATATTTACAAAATAAACAATTAAGATATCTATCGTTGTTTGGCATTTAATCGTTATTGTTTTGGACTACAACTGTATATATATATATCGGGGGACTT